TCCTTCTCCACAGTAAACACTGATGCAAAATACACTGAAGAAGGGTCACCAGACTCGAAACATTAACTCGGATTTCTCTTCACAGGTGCTGCCAGACCTACTGAGCTTTTCTAGCAATCTCTATTTTTGGTTTTGATGCAAAATACTCATTTAGGATCTCCCCTATCTTCTGCAGTTCCACACATGAGCAGTATTTTGTTGAAAAATGGGGGCGCTTTGCTTTTTATACTGATATTTTTGAGACAGTGCCATCAATTTACCAGTCAACAGTAAATTATAGAAAATTGTCCGTTCTGAGGAAGGGTTAACTCTAATTTTTTCTTCACAGATGCTGCCAGACCTACTAAGCTTTTCCAGCAACTTTGTTGTTGTTATAGAAAATTGTCATTTACTTTCAAGACAATAGGCCTGACAATCAGGTCCCACTTATTTTTTTGTTGAACTCTTCTGGATGTTTGTACTTCCAGTATACACACTGGATCTCCAGACATGTGCCAAGTTCCTTTTGTGCTGTGGAATTCAGATGTCCTATCATACGAGGCCCAATCCCAGGTTTTGTCCTTTATATCCCCCAACTTAGTAATTCAACATATCTTGGAGTCAGACTATTAGCTGAACTGATCTGATGGACTCCCAACAGAATTAAATTTGGAATCCATTGGCATTGGTGCAGACATTTCACCCTAATATGTTTTATATATTTTCTAGGATGCCTGTCTCAACTGTGTACAACTGCATTGGAAACTGACGTATTGATCCTGCACAATAATTGAATGAAACACATCACAAATATTTCATGCATAATCTAAATGAAGTCTTAAATTTATGAAACATGCAATGTTTTAATGGAATGAGAATTGCACAGAAACTATAAAATCTGTCAATGCTGCAAATTGAAATAAAAACACATTGAGTCCTTTCGCTATCTTGTCACAGTTTTCTCTAGATTACTTCAATCCCCTGGTCTCATTCTATGTCCTCACAGGATTTTTATTTATATAGGTTGTCAGTTGAGTCATTGGCTCTGGTTATTCATGACAGACAAGACAAATCAGGTAACTAAAAGCCACAAAATATGGGATGTATTGAAATCCATTACAAAGAAGTGCGACAATGCATCAATGAATCACACAGCACTTTCCCGGGTGTCTAATTTTCAAGCTCTAATCTCTTTCCATATTGTGGATCTCTAGATTATGAATCAACTTGTGAGATGTCACTTGTCTCCTTTTGCAGTAATAAGACTTCAGAATGATTGTTTGAGGCAGGTAGTGAAATACAATCAGATTACTTAATGGTGGAATGTTAGATGCATTTTTAACAAAAAGATCTATGCGTTTGTTTTTGACTGAGACAAACAAGGTTATCCCTGTCCCAACTGAAACTGTGAAAACAATAGATATGATGAATTAATTCCTCAACAGAAACGTTTAGTTTTACTTGTATTATTTAAAGGGTACTTCTCAATATTTAACTGAAGATTTAGATTCTTGCAGTCATTTCATGATTATATCATCAATGCAATTCTTCAAAGGAAATGTCAGCATTAGTTGCGGATAGGATCCTGAGTGTCTCTCATAACACAAAGAATCACGAAGGATGAAATGTGAAAGAAAACATGGGTACAAATTTAAATGAAAACTTAGTTCCGAAAGTACATACCTTAAAATTAAGAAATCATTAATAAAGTTGTGTATATGTTGTAACCTCAGGATTAAGTTTGCAGCATTCATTGCTATATAAAATGGGATGTTTGATAGATAATTTCATTTAAAACTTTTCATCAGTCTATTATTTTCTCTCTACCATTTGAGAAAATTGAGTTTCAAAATATGACATCATTCACTATTCCCCAACTAAGTTTCTTTGAACAAATTAATCTGTCTTTTGCTTAAGGTGTTTGCAAGGAGCCATTCAGAGTTCAGAATTAACATCAAATGTGATAGTTAATACAAATTGATTCAAATTTCATCAAAACGCAACACCACACTAAACCAAATCTGAAGGAACAAGTATAAATAAGTGTTGATGCACAGACACTGTTTTCCCTGGTTGGAGTATTTCTCGAACTGGGACTCATAGTCTCAGAGTAAGGAGTTGGCTCTTCAAGTCTAAGGGGAGCAAAAATTTCTTCAATTAGCAGGTTGAGAATTTAGAACTCCCTACCTCAGAAATCTTTGGAAGTTCAGCTGCTGAGCACAATTAAGGCAGATATTAGGTTTCTTGAAGGAATCAATGAATGGACAGTATAAGAAAGTGGACATTAGGTAAAAGATCAGCCATGATCTTATTGAATGACAGAATAGGCCCAAAGGGCCATGTAATCTACTCCTGCTCCTTTTTTTAAAAAAAAATAAGGCATTCAGGTGTAACTCAAAGTTTGCACAACATGGTTAACTACAGTTACTTTGTCTTTAAAATTTCAGATCAATAACACGTGGAATTGATTGTTTATATGTAATAGCTTCTCTTTCATGCAATTTTTTTTCGAGGTTAAATGAACCACAAGCTTCTTCAGCATTTAACTTCCTAATTTTAATTAACGTTTGCCAAAGGTAACGCTTGCACATGGAAGTTTAATGTGACTCCTTGTCAGCAAGGGCAATAGTTTGGCAGTTTAATTTCTAGCCATCTCTTAAATTCAATTGCAAGGCAGGCATGCGCTTTAATTTACTCCCTGCTCTTATCAAACCAATGCAGATTTCTACCTCTGGCACGGATTGAATAATTTCTTTTTTAACTGTTTGTGCAGCTCAATTTAACTCTGAATTGTTGAACAGATGAAATGCTAACAGTATCTTGCAAGGCTAATATCCAGCCATAGTTTGATAAACAGGAAAGGCAATTGATCGACTGCTTAAAGACCACCATATTTAAGTACAATGTAATTCATATGCTGAATACATTTTAAAGTACTGGACTAAATTATATTGAACAAGACCAAGAGCAAAATGAATAGGTTATGTTCAATGGTTATTTCTGTCATGTTCATATGCAACAACAGCAAAGAAAATGACTGCTTTTTTTTTGCTATGGATAAACCTCCGAATTATTTCAATGCTATGAACGACGAATATACATTTCAACCTCTACAGCAAAATTCATGAATTATACATAACATAATCATATTTCCAGAATTTGCAATTTCTGCAAAGGAGCTCTTATTCTGTGAACTGTTACAGAGATACGGTAGCTCTGCAATTCTAATACATACATAATAACTTGATAAAGTGTTATGGGTAAGAAAAGGGATTCCATGCTAAGCTGAGATTTCTGAAGACCTGAAAATCAATTTAAGTAACGCAATAGATGGTAGTCTTCTTTTCCCCAATATAATTACTGTACTTCCTCCTTTAAGAGTAATATTACTGTAGTACAAATGTCATGTATTATTACAAAAATGGATGAGTTCATAAGTTAAAGTGAGACAGGCAGCTTTTATGGTACATTTTACAAGATAAGTGCTCAATAGCCAGTACAGTTACTGCCTGATTTTCTACCTTCAATTTTCCAAAAGAAAATTCAAAGGGAAATTGTTAACTTAACAAACGCTTGAATTGTGGGAATTAGAGGTGTACTGTGGAATTTAGAATGCAAACTGCAGACTGATGGCTGTCTCTTTAAATGCTCGGTTAAAATGACAAATGCCACCCATTCTAAAATATTACTCCATATGTTGAACATCCAACAAACGAGATATTGAATCTGTTTCACTGCTTTCAAGGTTGAAAATGGGCACTGAAGGCATTCTATATGCATGGAAGGCATTCTACATGAATATACTAAATCTTGATAAGAAACGTATAACATGCCATATTGCTTTAAGTGGCCTGGAGTTGTTCAAGTTGCCTGCCTGAAACAGGTGTTAAGCCCTTTGCTAAAAGACCTGGGTTGAAAACCCATGTCAAGCTCCCTTTGGAAATCAGTTTGTGTCTGTCTGAATGAGGACAGTTTTCTTGCCTGCACAGTCTTTAATGAGATCACTGGAGGTGTGTAAAAAAAAAATCACATTTGAGATGACATGGTGACTCAGTGGTTAGCACTGCTGGCCCACAGTGCCAGGGAGCTAGGTTCAATTCCACCCTCGGGTGATTGTCTGTGTGGAGTTTGCACATTCTCCTTGTGTCTACATGGGTTTCCCCTGAGTGCTCTGGTTTCCTCCCACAGTCCAAAGATGTACAGTTTAGGTGGATTGGCAGTACTAAATTTTCCAGAGTGTCCAGGGATGTGTGGATTAGCCATGGGAAATGCAGGGTAACAGGCATAGGGTAGAGGGGTGGGTCTGGGTGGGATACTCTTCAGAGGGTTGATATGGACTCAATGGGCTGAATGGCCAGGATCCAAGAAAAATCAAAGTTTTATGACTGCAGTGCTCTATTTAGCTTCACTTTAAAGCAGTGACCCCTCAACCAAGCCATATTTAATGTTCTTTGCAATCGGCAATACCCACCATGAATACTGGCCACTGTCCCCGAATCCACCTCAGTGCTGCTGTGGTGCCAGAATTCTCAATGCACAACTGCGCATTGACTCGTAAGATTCAATTTCCCCAATAAATTTGTTGGCATCAACAAAAGGGACCAAATTTGCGCAGTCATTTTGCTCATTGGTGGATCATGGTTACCCATGGAGCTGGCATGAACCAATTGTTAGCTTTTGTACAATATGTGAAAATATTAACTGTAAACATATTTAGTACGTGTTGGGGTGATGTGCGCAAATAATGTGTATCAATTACAGTCATCATTTTTCACAAATGAGGTAGGAGGAATTAACATGCTTGTCTTTAATATAACAAGTTTCATATTAAAGTCATTAAAACATTTATTTATGAACTTATGTGAAAATCATTGAAAAATTGTAAGCAAAGTGTGAACTTATCATGAAAGCACATGGATTTCGGTTTTGAGTGTCAAATCATTTTATCATCAATCAATTCAAATCCTTACACTACATACAATAATTTCTTGTAATATAAATAACTTTTCACTCCAATTTACCTGTGTATGCAAATTGAACAAGATCCCAGAGTGCACTAGGGTCTATGCCCTCCATTTTGACTTCCTCTTGCTTAGCTTCACAAACGTCACTGGTGAACATCGCAGCAAAATAATCTGACACAGCACTAAGAACAAGCCTGTAAAGACAAACACCACAAGGGATCTAATTAAATTAGTGCCTTTTAGTTAGCTGTGAAGAGTTGACAGAAAGAATTCGTTACATAAAAATAAACCTAAAGGCATAACTACCCTATTGCATCATGGCAGTTATTTGTAGGGGAACCATTTTAAATTATTGTCAAGGAATAACTTGGCTGGTCATATCGGAAAAGTATGGATACCAAAATTAGCATTTATTATCTTTCATACTAAACTATGTTTATTTTAAGGTGTTGGAATAATGAGATTCAGAGCTGGATCTTCATCTTTAAGGTAGCTTCAGACATTAAGAAATTAAGGAATGCCTGCATCAAGCGAAAATGCCAGTAACTACAGGATTTTCATTCTGCATATGGATGGTAAAAGAGGTCAGGACCATTACTTCCAGAATGAGGTTAGAGGCAACTAAGCAGTTGCTAAGCGCAGAGACAAACTACTAAAAAGTTCAAGGCAACGAACAGCCTTCTAGCCCTCACTTCTCACATCTCCTCAAGACCTACACACTCTCAATGCCCCAGTCATTCCAACTCATGTCACCTCATGTATCTCCACCCACATCCTATGGCCTCTCACACTGTTTATGCCAAGGTATTGTCCTAATCCTTGACTCTTCACTTCCCATGGTCCCTCTCACACTTTATTTCAAGATGTGGCACTTCCCATGCTAATTTCTGCCATCTCTACCAAAGCCCCTCATACCCTCCATATCAAACTATAATGCTCCTTGGCCATTCATCCACCATACACTGCACAGAACCAAGGAACCCAACAGCAATAATGAAGTCAGAGATAGTAGGAACTGCAGATGCTGGAGAATCCGAGACAACAAGGTGCAGGGCTGGATGAACACAGCAGGCCAAGCAGCA